GTAAGAAAAAAATGCTGAAAAGTTTGTGCACCGATGCGTATATTATACTTCCTCGACGTCTTACAGCGTTCTATATTTCTGGATTTTTTTTTTCCTAATTAAAAACAAACATTTTGCCTCAGATTAAATAATAGAAGGATGGAGATTGTGTGTCGCCCCCAATTCACGCATCGTAATTTGGTTAGTTGTACATTATACACCCGCGCGCAACATTTCAACCTAAGGAGCCATTTCCACGATGGCTTTTTATTAAGTTTATTTTAACTTAACCTCCTGGCACTCAGTGTTTAATTATCTAAGTCTGCAATCTTGAGCCTATTTCCTTGGAAAGTCTCGTTGGGCGCAGCAGGGGACGGTTCCTAATAAAGCAACATATTATAAAAGTGTCAAACCATTCTTTCCTTCTTGATATGTACTTGAGTTCAGAGGAAATCCCACTGAGATAACTCAGCAGAGGGCAGCCCAGGGCCTCGGCCGAATTGGATCCCTTCTTTTTAGAGCAGAAATCTTCACCAGATAAGGCCTTGAAAGGCAACGCAAAGACTCTCTGCATTTTAAAGTTCTACCACCAAGTTTCTTATAAGCGATATGAGGAAAGGTATCATCAGAGTTCAGAGTTTTATTATAATTTTATTAGCCCCCCCTCTCTTTACCTCAGTAATCTTTCTCTCTGTATTTCTCTCTCTCTCATATCTATGTATAATGTATCATCATCTATCATCTATCTATCATCTATTTAACATCTATCACCTGTCATATCTTTCTATTTATCTCTATCATTTATATCTATATATCTCTATCAACTATCATCTATTTATCATCTCTCTCATATTTGTCTATTCCTCTTTATCTCTTTATCATCTCTATGATCTATCTATCTATCTATCTATCTATCTATCTATCTATCTATCTATCTATCTATCTATCTATCTATCTATCTATCCATCCATCCATCCATCCATCCATCCATCCATCCATCCATCCATCCATCGTCTGTCTGTCTGTCTATCTATCTATCTATCTATCTATCTATCTATCTATCTATCTATCTATCTATCTATCTATCTATCTTTTTTTTTTCAAAGAAATTTTATTTATTTTTTTCCATCATAAAAAACAATCATAGCATAAGTAAACACAATAACAAGTAAACCCCCCCCCCCAGACTTCCCAAACCTAATCCCAGGATAATATTCATATAAAAGTAAGCAAATACTAATATCTCTAACTCCACAAAATATCTTAATCTACATGAAAAGATAGAAAGAGTAAACAACTAAAAACCTAAATTATATTCTACCACTCTATGCTTCTTTTGAATATAAACAATCCATCTTCTCCATATTGATAAA